CTCTCACTCTCGCGATGAGAAATCTGTTGTTTTCCCCTACGACATTTTTCAGAGGTATGCATGTGTAGTTATCAATGTTTTTTTCCCTATATGGTTATAGTGGGGTGTTTATTTGCAATCTGGATCGCCACCGGTATGAAAAAATGTATCTTGCGCTATAAATTATAAGTTTGCTTCCATAACAATATTTTAAAAATATTTAACAGGTAAAATTAACATCATATTTAGATTCCACACATTTTTTAAATAAAATTTTGTATATAATATGTTAAAATCAAAGTTACGGTTTAAAAGATACATATAATTTAGAAAACCATTTGGTTTGACTCAAATATATTCCAAAATAATATTTAAAAATACTTAACAGGTAAAAATAATCTCGTATTCATATTCTACATATTTTTCTAATCAAATTTCATATATAACATGTTCAAATCGGAGTTACGGTTTAAAAGATATGGATGATTTTAAAAAGCATTTGTTTGACTTAAATATGATCCGCGGATGAATTACCTAAAACATCAGGGTTTTTAAAAAAAAAAGTAAAATAACGGTTCGGGTGTGACTTAAATCTGGACGGTGGGTTGATTTGAAGAAAAGACAGAGACTTTTGTGTAAAATACGAAAATAACGATTCGTTTTAACTTACAATAGGACTGTGGGTTGAATTCTCTGAAATAGAGAGACTTTTCTAAAAAATGCCATGACGGACGAAAGAAACCCAATTTGCTTTATTATTAGGTAAAGAAGAAGATATAGCAGGAGATTCTACTTACAAAACCGAATGGTATATTATTTTGAATGGGAAATCGACTACATTATTTTGATAAGAAGATTCTAATGATCATAGGCAAAGCTCATTATCTAGTTCGTTGAGTGCTTCCTTGTTTTCTTTCCGAACTGAAAACCTTACAATGTTCTTGTCTTGACCACCTGCTGGATTGGTGACCATAATGATGGCTTGTGCAAATTCTTGGACATGGATGGGACCTCCCGACTGGAAACCGCATAAGCTATCTATAAGGGCTCAAAATGGCAAGAAGAATCACAAAACCACAGATCCTATAGGCTGGTTAGTTGGTCACCTTAGACGCATACCACGGTCAACGGAAACAGATGATTACAGTGCCCAGTCAATCAAAAAGGGTGTATCTCATAAAAGGCAAAAAGGGTAAACCTCCACCTACTTTATTTTGATCACACCATATCCTATAGACAAATTAAGTAGTATTATTGATCATCATATTATATACCTTGTAGATGAAATACTAACAGTATTCATTAGTCAAAAACTTATCCTTGTGAAAATAACAGAAGTGCTCTGAATCAAAAAACCAAGAATGACAATCAATGATCCGTCAAATTCAACTGGCCAAAGAGAAATATGTACCAAAAGAGAAGAAAAATACCATTCCATAGAAGAAGCTTTAAAAGCTACCGCACAAGGAATGATCAAAACACTCAGCAATAAATTCAACATAGAAGATGAAAATGGAAACCGTCGTGACGGAATTTCTGAAGTGCAGCAACTCAAAAGAGAGAAAGAAACAAATATACAAACAACAAATGGAATTATTGATGCACGACAGGAGGTCGCAATAAAGATTATTCGGACAACACACAAGTTAATAAACATGGCAAGATCCCCTGTCTTCAAGATGTACTGCTCTGGAGGAGGCATCTTAGACCAGATCAATATGTTGCCTGATATCATTCACGCATAAGAAAAATGGCAATAAATATTGGAGAGTGGGTTTTCTACACCCCAACTCGGTGCACCTACGCAACAAAACATAGCAAAACATTTTTAAAAATTCCGAAACTTTGTGGGAATGATCATCAACAAACGTTATGCGCATTTGCAAAGTTTGGTGGCCAAATAACATTCGAGGAGCTCTGTACAAAAACGACAAAATTACAAAATCTGCTCAAACGGTGCACTTACATTTTGACTAATTTTCAGTGAATTTGTCTACTTTGTATAGAGCTCCTCGAATGGTATTTGACCACGAAAGTTTACAGGTGCCCATAACATATGTTTTTGACCATTCCCACAAAGTTTCAGAATTTTTTGAAATGTTTGGCTATGTTTTCTTGCGTGGGTGCACCGAACTGAGGTTCAGCCACTACATTCCTTAAATATTGTCCAATGTACCAAGTTGTTTACATGAAGAAGGGTACACTTGGTAGAAATTATACATGGTCAGAATTTTTCCTATAATCTGCTCACAAAATTTTATGTACTTCGTATCAGCTAGCAAGGGGGAGATGATCCATAACCTACAGATTGAGAAATCAAAAGGAAGAACTTCTGGCCATGATGATTCTAGTCAAGGAGACTGATGCTTCTGGTTTCCATCCCCAAAAAACATTGAAAAAGCCTAAACATGTAGATATGTGATTCATCATGCATTCAGTAGGAATGTAATATTATTTTTGCACACACGGAAATCAGATTTAAGCACTATAAATGAACATGGCTTTGGTTGTTAGTTGTGGTCAGATAGTTATATATAACTAGTCGTCAACCCGTGCACATGCACGGGCTAGCCTACCAAATGAGTGGTGATTCAAATGGCATGTCCTAACCAATTTAAATTCATCTGATGGCCTGCTTCAACATCCTGATTTTTATACTTGTTTGTTTTAATTTACTATGCATATTAGGTTTGTCCTAAGCCAAACTTTTTATAGATAACAATAAGAACATTTGCAATAAAAATATATATTCTATTAAAATATGCTGAAAGATTAATATAATTGTATTGATTTGGTATTGTTGATGTTAGTAAACATTTCTATAAAAACTTGGTCAAAATTTAGAAAGTTTGACTTAAGACAATACTAATATGCAATATATATTGAAACTGTGGTAATACTTATATGTTCGATATTTAAACGAAATGTTTTATTTATCTATATAATATTATAAATTTCTTTACAATAACTATCATTTTACACTTTCTTTAATTAATTACGTTGAAAATGGTACGCACATAATTTTCTGCTAATAATACAAATTTCTGAAAAGATAGCATTATGAAATTGAACATAGAAGACCACAGTAAAAAATATCTCTTAATCTGTTCAGGTCAAACTAACATACATATATTACTGCCTTTGATATAAGAGTAACTCACCCGAAATGAAATGATTGTGACACTAGTCTACTCTGTCGCTTTCACTTGCAACCAAACCTGGCTGGCTCCAGCATGTCAAACTGCATTGCTTTTGAGTGAAGGTACGTGGTCTGGCCATGGTGTGGGGACACCTCGGCCATGAACGGAGGCCATGGGAAACCGGCTATTTTTCTTGAAATTCACGTGGTGTTGAGCAACTATGATGGTCTATTGTTTTTTGGTTTCTGATGGGAAGCCGGCTTTTTTTCTTGAAATTCACGTGGTGTTGAGCAACTATGATGGTCTATTGTTTTTTGGTTTCTGATGGTAATTACGTGCACGATGGAGGTTAAATGGCCACCGAAGGAACTTTTATTCTTGAATATTCCTCAAAGTGGCCCAAAATCAGTTTTAATGGCCCTAATGTGTTGAGAATTAAGATGTTCTTTTCTAAAATATATATTGGGCATCAATTTATCTTCATGTTGTCATAACCCGGTAGCCCAACATTATATCGGAAATCAAAATTGTCTTTACACCATCAATTAGGATGGTAATCAAAATCTGATAGTGAAGGGGTCGAAAAGAATATCAGTTACTGAGGTTGTCTGCCTTCAAGATTTAGGCACTGTAT